TTTTTGGTATTTAGAGACAGGGTCTCACTGAGTTGCTTAGTGCCTTGCTATTGCTGAGTCTGGCTTTGAACTCATGATCCTCCTGCCTCAGCCTCCCAAGCTGCTGGGATTACAGGCATGCACCACCGCACCTGGCTCTATTACATTTTTGTGTGTATTTCTCTCACTCACTCCATTTAATACTAAAGTCCTTGAGAGATAGGGTTATTTGATTTGTTTGTTAATTATGTATTGAGTGGGAGGCTGCAAGGTGACAGGCCTGTCCCAGTCAACAGGTAGGTATACAGTGCAAGACAGGCAGTTAGAACCTGGTCTTCATGGACTGGGGCAGGGGACAAACATTAACCAAGAGATTCATAAGTAATATACTGGAATCTCTGTAATATGTCTACAGGGAAACAGTATAGGGGCTTGGAGTTATATTTATTTATCTCTGCATTACTCTCTAATATCTACTTTGGGACCTTAACACACACACACAGTACAATAGTGAAAGAACAAGTAAGTAAGTAAATGGAGAATGAGTAAATAACTTAAGGAATGATAAAAAATAAAAGGAATTAACTAATCCACCAATTTCACCTTAAATCATTTGGGGTTAAATTACACTGATACTATGGGAATTTTGGTTATTCTATAACAAACTGCACACACAATAGGCCATAGAACCAGCATGTTCAGAAGAATATATTTGATTTTTTTTTCAGTACCACTCCGTTGCTATCATGGGCCTCATCTATCTCTAATGATGTGGCGATACTTGTAAAGCTCATGCTTACTCCTTTATGTGAATAAAGTGGCTCTTCCAGGGTGTATGCAACCCCAAATAATATTGCATTGCTCTGTGGATAGACCAAGGGCTAGTTTAGGCTCCACTTTCCTCCTGGCCAGGAGCCCAGGTGTAGGGCAAAATTGGCACAACCAGACTTTACATGGGCCTGGAAAAGCCACCAAACTACAGGTTCACGTGCAGCAAACCCCTGTCCCAGCTTCCATATGAAATCATGCTATACATTTCTGCATGACTCAAAGATACCAGTACCACTCCATCAAAACAAAGCAGATGCATGTTCAGTACCACCTTATGGGTCTTCCAATTATTGGAAGTATAAGGTAAGGGTGCATATACAGTTATGATCTATTACCCAGCAAGAGTGGAACAGGCAGTATAATAGCTTGGGACAGGACAGACTGGCAAGCAGGCAATCCTGTCCAACTGTGTCATTATTTTCATCAAAATACCTCCTAGTTAACATTTGTAGATAGGATTCCTTCTA